CCCATCTCCCCCGTCTGCTGGCTGACTGCTGGCTGGGCAGCCTGGGAGTCTGAACACACACACACACACACACACACACGGAACACACGCTTCACTGGGAACAAGCCAGCAAAAGTAATCCTGGCCTACTTTTCTGCCTGGAGTGTTGCAGCTCCATCTACACACTGCTGCTACTGAGGAGGAGGAGGAGGAGGAGGAAGAAATGGAGAAGGAGGGAAGGTTGGAAGGAGGGAGTGAACGGTTGAAGGAAGGTGGAGGGAGTGGTTGGAAACAGGAAAGATGTTTTTATGGTTTTTAAGACCAGAGAGCGATTCAGGTTTTTACTGACACTTACAACGCTCGACATTTAGTATATTTCTGAAGCCGCTGCTAACTTTAAGCCACCGTTGATAATATTAGCAATTGCAGGTGGATTTTTAATTTTGTTCTGTGCAGTAATTTCTTAGCTAACTGTTGTAAATCTTTTGTTTTTGGTTCGTTTTCTTTAGATTTTAACAGTCTTTTTTTCATGAAATGGCCACTGTTTAGCATAGCGCTAGCATTTCACTGTCTATGCTAACTTTCAGCACTGATAGCATAGAATGTTAAGCATCCCTTACTGATGACCTTTAGTAATTTTTGGTCAGATTTTTTGTTGTTGTTATTTTTAACAAAATATTTTACTTCTGCTCCAAATTTTCTGATTCAGTAAGTTTCATTTTTTTTCATTGAATCATCGACGTGTATCAACATAGGGTTCCCGTCATCCTCACAAGTACAGTATCTAGTAGTGTTACATGATGTCACTTCTGAGGAAGATGGCACTGAAACAGAATTTTTAGCTACTTTACAGCAAGAAAAAAATCAAACCAAATTTCGATTCTTTTTAATTAAATTTCACCAAATTAAAAGTATTTAACTTTGTGTTTGTGTCAGACTTTAAAACCAAGAACATGTTTAACATTTATCTTCGACCTTTTCAACCATTCCCACGTCTCTGATTCTCAGATCCCATTCAGTCCCAACTGTTGGTCTCCGACCGCTGCAGCTGTGAGATAGTTTTCAGACTTCAGCCAACATTTTTATCCTTGGAAACAACTTTAAATGTCAAGCACTTTCAAGAATGTCAAGCACTTATAAAAACCTTCAAACTGGAAAAGACGGACCGAGACCAAGAGAAACACGGCTGCACTAACAGGAGTCCGCTGCCAAACACAGGACACAGGACTGCTGCTTCCTCTGGCCTGGACTTCCTGCTGCATATTCACAGAAGGTCCAGACCTCTGCTCACACTGACAGCATGAAAAATGAAGCCTGGAATAAGTGGAGACATGATGACATCACACATGAGCTCCACCGGCCGTCGAACAGGCTCTGGGTCTTTTAGATGTTATTTAAGAACACGCGTGAGACACAGAAGATTGAACACACACACACCAACATCAAGATGAACTGTGTGTGTGAGTAAGAGAGAGAGAAAATAAAGCAATTATTCATTAATTAAGGGGTCACAGTGGGTTTACAGTGAGGTCACAGTGGGGTCACAGTGAGGTCACAGTGGTTCTGTTTACTCAGCAAATTTTTTTTGTTTTTGTTTTTACGGCAAAACTCCATGATAAAATGTTTTTTAAAAAATGGATTCAGAGCTTTTCTAAAATAAACTGGTACGTTCTCAACTTTAGTCACACAAATATTATCAGCATCAAGGTGGCAAAACAGGTGTCATGATCGTGTGGGTCACATGGTCCACATCTGAGTCAAAAGACTGACGTCACTGATCAATAACAGACATCTGCTGCTGTAAAATGAACCAGGTCTGGTTTCTGGAATCCATCCATCCATCCATTCATCCATCCACTTATCCGTTACCAGGTCGCAGGGGCAGCAGTCTCCATGACCGCCACCCAAATCACACTGCACCGTACCAAACCCCCCGAACCTTCCTGCGGGTGGTGAGTCCACTGGAAGGTACCAACCGCTCTAACCGGGATTCGATCTTACCCAGGAGGTGAACCCTGGGGTTCCACACCAACGACAGAGACGTTGCCTCTGGGCCAAAGCGCCACCTGGTTCCTGGGATCTGAATCTCAAACGGACTGAACCTGAACAGATGAATTCGATTATTATATTTAGCTTTAGCCTCGTTGTCATCTCTGCGTCCACAGACAGAAGATGACGTTGTGTTGATCTTTGCTGTCATCAACCAGAGGTGTCAGCAGAGAGTCCTGGAGAACCCCAAGGCCTTGAAAACTGATAAAATAATGGAATGCAGTAGATGGGGGTAAGTGGGGGGCAGCGGGGGTATTTAAAGAGTCCAGTCACACACACACACACACAGGTCCTCCCTCTCTTCCCCCATCACTCTCTGTGATGAAAGGTGTGTCTCTGCTCATGGGTCGTTTGGTCGGGCATCTCTGTGGACGGCTCATTGGAGAGTGCCAGGACCCCTTCATCTTTCACAACGACAGGTCTCGGACACAGGGTCCCCCTGTGACGGACGACCCATAATTCACATGGACGGGGGAGTGGAGCTAATGGCCTTGACTCCAGGCCTTAAAAATGATCATGTCCAGACCTTCAGTGTCACACACTGATGTCAGGCTCCGCCCACAGATATCACACACACAGATACTGGTGATGATCACAGCCTTCGATATCTGATCTGATATCTGACCTCTAAACCAAGAACATGCTAAAAAAAAGGGAGTTCCAAATAAATACTTAGAATTCACTGAATTTCATCGTAATGCAATATTTGGCACAAAAGCAAAATTTTGCGATAAAAAATAATTATTAATTATTCAACAGGAACGATTAATTGACATTCTGGGGAAGTTAAAGAACAAGGACTGTTGTAGCTAACGTAATTAATTGACATCCAGGAGTAGTCAAAGAACAAGGACTGTTGTAGCTAACGTTAGCTCTGGTTGCACTACACACCGTGTCTTAACATTCCCCTAAAGTTGGCTGATGTGTTAAAAGTGCGTAGCTAACATTAGCACTACACACCATGTCTTAACGTCCCCTTTAAAGTTGGCTGATGTGTTAAAAGTGCGAGGGTGAGCGCGAGAAAAACTGTTCCCATCAACCGTAGGGTTTGATTCCCTCTGAGTGTCGACACTGTTTCTTAACAGGCGGCTGTCTGAGCGCTCAGAGCTACTTTTACCTGACACGCTCCCAGAGAGCGCTGTGATCCAAGGACCGCTGTGAGGGTCTGACGTGGCCTGTCGTCACGTGTAACCGAATCCCTCTGAGGGACCAGAACAAACGCGGCAGCTTTTCATCACTCAGTGAGGAAGATGCTAACTGTGATTAGCGACAGCACCGCTGATTTACACCCGAGCAGCGGGACTTTGGTCCAATCCTCTACGCTCGACAGAAACGTGTCGGAGATTTTTTTTTTTTTCATCACTCTCGGCGTGACGGTCCTGTTGTATTAACACGTTTGTGATTACAGCGAGCGTGAGCGCCGAGGAGAAGGTGAAGGCTCCCCGCGGCAGACGCCGTGGGATTGGACGGCTCACGGTTTTAACTACACGGACGAGTTCAGAGGAAATAATATCTGCTTGACCTCGTGCAAAACGCAGCACTTAAGTACATTTGTACCAACCCACACAGAAATAATCATCTGATACTAATCACAGAATCACATCAGCAAAGGATGTAATTATGTTTTTTTTTTTTCTTCTTCTTCTTCTCTTCCCTCCTCTGTGAAACCTTCGGGGGTGTGACACCATAAACTTTCATGTGCCAAACGCCTCATTCGGAATTGAAAATGAGATGGAAGAACGTGATCAAAAGGAGGAATAACGGCGAACGGGGAGGGGCCGCTGCCCAACTCCTATTAATATGCACACATTCATATTTGGGCTTTTGTCTGTGTGGAAAAAAAACAAAGCGCCCCCCCCCCAGGTTTGGGGGCCCCCCTCTGACTGTATTCAGCCCTATCTCATACAAAGGCAGAAATATTCTGCTGAGGCCTCACGGAGGACGGCGTGGAGGGAAGCTCCAGCACCCCCCCGAGTGTCCCTGAATCAGGCAGACAGGAAGTGGTCCCGCTACAGCCCTCGTCCCCACAGCGATTCCCATGAATTCCCACAATTCCACCCGGCCGTTGGTTAGTTACACATTCAACTATGTGCCACCATGCTCTCCCTGTGAGCGCAGTCATAAAGAGGGGCGGGGGGGAGGGAGGGGGGAGAGAGCGGTGGAAAAGAAAATCATACTTCATTCAGCGTCTCAACATGACCCACATCACTGTAGACCGGGCTGCTTTAAACGCGGACAGAACGGCCTTTGTGCCGTGAGTTACACGAGCGAAAGAAAAACAAAGGAGACAAATGAAAGGAGGTTCTTCAAAGGTTAATCCGTTACAAGCCCGGATCACAGCGGCTCATCTTTAAGGAAGAGAAGAAAAATCTGCGTCTCCTCTGGTTGGCTCCTCTTTCTCTTTTATGTCTGGTCATAAAGAGCTGGTTTTATGTACACTCCAGTGGCTGAGGCTCACAGAACATGCATGCGAATGAGAGGGAACCACGGGGGAACCGTATATCTTCACAAACATATACACACATGGAGGAACAGTGGGGGGGGGACGTATATGAAGACGGAGATAAAGAATGGCCAGAGAGTGAGGAAGAGACTGAAGGAGACAACGCGGGGAATGAAAAGAGACGGTTGTTGGAGGAGAGGAGTTATGATGGAGGGAGGATGAGACGGAGAAAAAAAAAAGAAACTGTCTGCTGCTTTAATCGCAAAATCAGAGTGAAGGATGGGGGAGAGGAGGGGGGGAGGAGGGGGAGGGAGACGGGGGGGGCATGCAGTCATCATAACTGATCCCATCTGAGAATTCTATTACAGGCCTGGCTGTGGTTGTGGCTAACGCTACTGGCTCTACAGCACGGGCTCCGGAACTTTCTACTCCAGCCATGACCTGCTTTTAGTACCTGCTGAAAACTGGGCCTGTTTAATATCAGGACATTCATCAGGAGGGGGGGAGGGGGAGAGGGGGCAGTTACTGCAAACACATCCCAGTAGCTGCACATTACTGAACTCTGATTGGATAAACAACAACATCATCATGACTGGCCTGTGACGGACACCAGAACAACCTGTGTGTCGGTGGTTAGGGGCAGCTGTAAGGGCGGGGGGGGGTTTGCAAGTAGTACATGTCAAGTACACGTCGAGTACACGTTGAGAACATTTCTTCACCTTCTACTGCAACAAGTTACCGAACACTGCGGTGCACGCCCCAACCAGGACGCCTTGTTGGAGCGGCTCCACCTCGTATTTACAGTATAGGTCTCTTGAACATGTGCCAACTTACCTGCAGGGCTGGAGGATGCAGTGATGGATGGAGAGAGAGAGGGGGGGAGATGGTGTGAAGCAGGAGGAGGAAGCAGAGATGCTGGAGGGAAGCAGGAGTCTGGAGTTAAATATTAATCTGCGGTGATTCATCTGCTGTGGAAGCCTCCAGGCTCCTTCTGCACACCGCCAGCTGTTGGCCCCGCGTCTCCTGGCCCCGGACCTGGATGTGAAGGGTTGGGGTGGGGTGGGGTGGCTAACCGGGGTGTCCGGGCATGAGCCTCCTTGGCTGGAGGAGAGGCAGGCCAGGCCAGGGCAGGTGGTGGGCTGTTGGGAAATACGGAGACGCGTGTTATCTCCGTGTGGTCCCACAGTTAACTGTCGATAAACGTGTTTCACCACGACAGTACGGTGCAATCTGGGATTAAGTCCCCGAGTCTGGAAGGATTAGGAGGATAGTGAGTTATGCTATGAACGGTGAGATGACAGGAGGAAGAAAATATAAATATATAGTGACAGTACGGTGTGATCTGGGATTAAGTCCCCGAGTCTGGTATGCTATGAACGGTGAGATCACAGGAGGAAGAAAATATAAATATATAGATAAATATGTCTATATAATAAAGACATATAGAGACATACAGACATACACACATATATACACATACATATATACATACATAAATATTAATACATATATATGAATCACAGAGGCTAAATCACAGGAGGAAGAAAATATATATATATATAAGATGGTAAGATTTGTTTTGGTTTTTTTTCTTGGTCAAAACAATGGGCGATATTGTCATAACTGATACCATTTCAGGCGTGTTTCGGGACGTAGAACTTTTGCTCCCCCAACCCACTCTGAGGAATGTTAGATTGAAACGGAAATTTGCATCACAGTCATTTCCCTTCTGTGTAAAACGAGAGCAGGAGAAAAGTTACACCAAAGTCTGCGCATGGACTCGACGCCACAAATCATCCCAACTCCCATTCCGTCCATTATTCACATCCAGACCCGACTCGACAGTATATCACCAGCACATGCTGAAGTACTTGATGGCAGTAACAGCTCTGCAGACTCTACTTGTCGGTGCACAGACGGAGGATGTGTGTGAGGCTAATGTCATATTTGAGGCTGCAGAGAAACTGGAGTCGCTCAGTGTTTTGTCTTCAGGTCGAGCTGGAAAGCGGGGGGTCCTCCCGAGTACCAATACTTACTGCAGTATGTGTGCAGTACAATAGCACTCCTGCTCGTGGTGGCCGTGGAATGAGGGAGGGGTTGCAGTGGAAAAGCTGATGTAATATTAATATCGCAAAACAAAACCAGAGCTCTGCACAGGTCTGGGAACTGTTAGCACGCAGGTTCAAATAAAAATAACTTCGTAAGAGCCGGGGTTTCGCCGAGTCTCCGCTGGTTTCTCGTCCACTTTCACTCTGACAACAGTATTCGTGTGGCGTTAGTGGCCACAGACGCTCAAAGCCTTTCTAGAAAAAATGGAAATTTAAGCTTACGACCCAATCAGACGGCCAAGAGTTTTCACTCTCTTTACGTCGCCTTCTTACATTTTGACTTTCTTATGAAGGATTTAAAATTGGGAGAAAAAGTAAAAAATATCTTCATGAAATATTTAAACTGCCAAAAACCAGAGTGTAACTCTGAGAACGAGTCAACATTTATAACCGTAATATAAAGAAAACTCTGGAAGTTTGAAATTGGTTTCATTCCTAAAGCAGTAAATCATTAAGTTTGTACAAAAAAAAACTTTGATGAAAACACTATCGTTTTTAAACTTCTCTTTAATCAAATCCAGGTTTGTTTACGGCTATGGTTCCCTCTTTCTACCTACAGCGCCCCCTACCCCCCTGCCCAAATTTACAACTATTACTTCAAAAGTTCACTGTACATTATTTGAAATACTGAAAAACTGTTCCTGTAATTTAACAATTAACAAAGGAAAATGAAGCTAAAATTAGCCAAGTTTCTGTTACAGAAAAAAACGAAGAGATTAAAAGTTAAATCAGTTTTCATTGCTGCCCCCTCCCCGACCCCACCCCCTACATGGAGAACCCTTGGTTTAGAAAAATCTGAGACTTGATTTAGTTTTGATTTATAACAACAGAGAATCCTCCAAAAACCTCGCTGCTCTGAATCTAAACTATCTTGACATTTTAGCAGTAAGAAAACACAACATGGACAAATGAGGTTTTCCTGGTTTTCGATCTAAATCTCATTTTTGTACTTATTTAAATAAATCATTGAAGGAACTTTTCCTTGGAAAAAAGACTGGAAGAAAAGCAACAGGAGATCCAGCCTCAGGAGACACTGTTTTTTTACTGTAAAGCAGTGGTTTCAATTACAACGTTTCACTGGTGTTAAAGCTCTGCTCACTTTCTGTTCAGCTGACTGTGTTAAGTATGGAGAAATATATAAATAGTGTATATATCATCTTTGGAAATAAATGTAATGACAAAAAAGTTAATGCGTTCAATACTTATTTCCCCCATTGTATATATATATATATATATATTATCCTTAATTTTTCACCTAACTTGAAATATCATCAGGTTTGACAAAAATGTCGTTTGATAGATTTCGGCCAATGAGGATAAAGTAAACTTGGCTGCAGGGCAGATTAATCCAAACCCAACCTGAAGAACTGCTGCTCGATATCGACTTGTACAGAAATGAAAATACTTGTAAAAAAAAAAATGGTTTGGGGACAACCTTTTTTCTCCACCCAATTTTACGATACTTTACAACGAGCCAAGGACCGCGGAGGAGTTGGGTTACTACAGGGTCTTTGGAAAAACGAGAAATATTTGAGAGGAGAAGAAAGAGAAACTGCTGGGTCATGAATTATAGAGAAGATCGCTTTCATCAAGGCCCGGAGAGAGGGAGGGAGAGAGGGAGAGAGGGAGAGAGAGGGAGAGAGAGAGAGAGTGTACTGGAACAGGAGATTCTCCCGCTATTCTTCCAAGCCCCGTCTGGTACGTGGGAAGCCACTGGGGAGAGCAATTTATGGCCAATTGAAGCAGCAGCAACATCCCTTGGAAGTCAACGAGTGGATCCATAGCAACGATCCTTGCGGGTCATATTAATCCCCTGCTTTATGTAGTGCTAAGTGTACAATAGTAATCAGGATTGGAGCAGGCCCCACTGATCATTAAGGGGAAAAGCTATATAAAGAATTCATAATGGGATTAGCCCAGGGCGAACGGAGGGGAGAGAGAGAGAGCGAGCGACACCGGAGAGTGTGTGTGTGTGTGTGTGTCTGGAGGATGAGGACAGGCAGACAGTGGGCAGAAGCTGGGGGGCGGCGAGGGGGGTAGCACGATGCTGGAATTAACTCAGCCATCAAATTGCAAAGAGGAATTTTAATTTACAGGTTAATGTGGTATTGTGTGACTAATCACAGGCCAGAGTTTCACTGAGCCCTTAGAAAAAAAAACGGGCGGGAGCTGGAGCGGAAACGGTAAAAAAAAAAAAATTAAAAAGAAGTGTTTTACAGAGTGGGGGGGTCACAGGGGGATTCAAACCTGCAACCCGCCCCTTCAAACTCCGACACAAAAAGTTTCAGGGAACTCTCTGGGCTTTAACGGCCACAGAGGGAAGATAAGGAGTGCATTCATTAATGGAATCGAACCCACGTATTAAACTTTTACTGATTGCCCATTGGCCATTACACCAGGACAAATAATCACTAGATAAACGATGCAACTATTAATATTTATCCTCTGTTTATTCCAACATTTCTTTAGAGTGGAGGACAATTAGAGCAGCTCTCAACCTGTCTGCTGCCGCTGGAATAAATCAATGACCAGCTCTTACTGCCGTCTTAGCAGCTGTTTGAGCTGAGACGCACTCCAAAGTTTGTTATAACTTTGCTAAATGTAGCATAGCATCCTGTTTTATTTCAAACCAAAAGTATGTTTTTTAAGCTCTCTTTTTAAACAGAGCTTTATGGAACAGTTTTCAGGGTATATGTGTATACACATACATATATGTGTACATTTATATATATATTTATTTGTATATTTATATATATTTATTTATTTATGTATATAGAAATACACATACATATATGTACATATATATACACACAAATGTATATGTATGTGTTTTTATGTATATGTTTACATACATACATATCCATATATACATTGAAACATATATATAAATATATAGCTATGTATGTACAAACATATGTATTTGTATGTATATAAATATATACACATGTACAGTATATATTTCTATATATATATTTCTATATATTTATTTATACATTTATATGTATTTATTT